TTAGATTGAAAAACTGGGATCGGAGCAGGAAAGTCTTTCGATACAGAAACTGGTATCTGAGCCGGGGCAGGTGGGTCTTTAGGTACAGAAACTAGGGTCTGAACAGGGGCAGGAAGGGGCTTAGACTGAGAAACTTGAAAATGAGCAGGAGCAGGGGGATCTTTTGATGCCGAAATTGGGATTTGAGCAGGGGTAGCAGGGGGTTTAGATTGAGAAACATGCATTTGAACAGGAGCAGGCAGATCTTTAGATACAGAAATTGGGATTTGAGCAGGGGTAGCAGGGGGTTTAGACTGAGAAACTTGCATTTGAACAGGAGCAAGCAGATCTTTAGATACAGAAACTGGAATCTGATCAGGAGCAGGAGGGACTTTAGATTGGGAGACTGGGATCTTACCCAGAGCAGGAGGTGTTGCGAATGCTGTAGAAAAACCAGCATATGTGGTAGGGGCTGAGGTCAGCATGGGATCAGGGGGCATTTTATCTAAAGAGAGTGGCGCAGGAGTGGGTTTAGTCATGGGAGGAATCTTATCTAAAGAAGTTGAAGATGGAGTAGGGACTGATGCAGTGCTGGGTTGGGGTTTAGTTGTGGCAGTCGTGGTAGAGGAAGGACAAAGATGTGGAACAGTTACGATGGAAGGAGGGGTTTTATTTAAGTCCATTGGGCTAGATGCGAGTATAGGCTTAGAAAGGGCCACAGATGCTGAGCCTGAGGTTGTAGTTGATGTGGGAAATGTTGTGACCTTAGAGGGGATAACCGGTGCAGGAGAGGGGGGTTTGGTGCAGGCCACTGATACTGTCACTGGGGCTTTAGATTCTCCTGCAGTAGAAATTAGCGAAGGTTTGTAAGAAGTGCAAGTTTGCAGATTCATACTGCTAGCTGAATCTAATTTAGCAGGTGAAGGTTGAGTAAAAGCAACAGTGGCGGGAGGGCTATGGGTTACTGGTGGAGGTTTAGCTGACGCAGGAGAAGGAGAAGCAACAGGGCTAGTTTTACTTACTGGAGCAATAATTTGAGGAGGCGCTGCAATCTGTGAAGCCAATTTGCTGACTGTAGAAGTAAGAGTTGGACTAACTGAGGGAGCCTTGACTACAGTCGCCAGGGTGTTCGGAGGAGCTGTGGTGGTTGTAGAGGTGGAGCTCAGTGTGGATTTAACTGTTATTGAAGGGGAAGACATTACTGGAGCTGAAAGGCTTGTTAATGTTACATGGGCAATTGAGGGTTTTGTTGGCATGGGCGTAGGAGATGATTTCATTTTAATGCTGGTAGAAGGCTCAGAGGGTTGAGTAGAGTCTGAGCTCATTTTGACTGAATGAGTAGTCAAAGTGGAAGATTTAGTCAGGGTTGTGATGATTGTACTTGGCTTGGCAATGGGGGACGAGGTTGAAGTTGTCTTTGTCAGAGCAGTAAAGGATTGGGTTGGGGCTGTTGTGGGGACGGCTATAGGAGAGGGTTTTGCCATAGCAGCAGTGCTGACAGAGGTAGAAGTCAGCGGAGAGGAGATGGTGGGTTTGGAGAAGAGAGATGTGGATGATGGCGTGACTTCAGTCACCATAGCACTGATGGCACTGTAGGCTTTTCCCCACTCTGCCTCCACATCAGCCATGATGTCTCCACCCCCTGAGATTGAGTCAAAGGTCAGGAGAGAGGAGATGTCTGCCAGCAAGGTGCTCAGGCTGTTATCACCAGGTACCAAGGGTGGTTTAGAGGAGGGTAAAGGCGGCACATGCTCATTAGTTTTACTCACATTGCCTGCTGTCAACTGGGGAGTTATGGTGTCTGATGGAGTCGTGGCTGCACGGTCCTGTGTTGTTTTTTCTGTGCTCTTGAGGGGCTCACAGCTCTCAGTCTCTGAGCTGTCCAGAGAACGAGGCTGGGATTTGGGGGTGAGTGTGAGGTCCTCTTTGATGATTTCCACACTGTTGGCTCGAGACGACATTAGAAGTGGGCTTGGAGGGGCTTCCTCCTTGTCCTCTTTATCTTTTGACCGGAACTTAACATTGCCAAAGAGACCCTTCAGCCCCCGGCGTTGCCGACCCACTGGCTGGGACACGGTGTGGACTCGGCGGTCCCCCATTCCTCTCCGACCACCCCTCAGTAACGACAGGAAGCTGAGGGACTTGGCTGAGCTGACTGAAGAAATGGAGGTACGAGCAGGGGTGGCAGCCAATACGCCATCTTCGCCAAGCGGCTCCTCATCTGCCTGCTCCCTCTCTCCTTGACTCATCTCCTGCCCCTTCTCCTTGTCTGGATCCTGCTCCGAATCTGGTGCAGCGGACTCTGATAATCCATCTAAGGTTTTGCTCCTGTTAACAGGTGACTTGTTATTTCCATCCCCTTTGCTTCGAATAGAAAATATGTTACCTGGCTTGCGTTTGCCAAACAGCTTGAATCCTTTTCTGATTTTTCCACTCGACTGGGATTCACAAGGCGGGGGGTCCATGTTGTCCATTTGTACATCCATCTTCTCTCTGCTTCCCGCTTTCTCTGTATCCTCCTGTCTTTTGCTGTAGTTATTATTCCTCAGCCAGTGGATTGAGCATTTATATCCAGACCTTATCTCCGTCTGTAGACTTGCTTTGCCTCTGTTGCTCTCAATGCGTTCTTTATCGGCTCTGTATCCCTCCCTCTCTCTATCTTTCTCATCCAGCCCTTTCTCCTCTATTTCTCCCTTGAAAGCCCCTCCCCTTTGCCTCGTTTTTTGTCTGGCTGCTCTCCCTGGTTGCCATAGCAACTGAGGACCTAAGCAGCTTTCGTCAGCAATGCAGAGCCAGGGGCTGTCATCAACCCACCCTGAACGCAGCTTCCCTTCCTCTCTATCTGATGACTCTGTTTACATAAACAGCAAAAACAAATACTCCATTAATAGGGCCAAATAATGAATTCTGAATGATCTGGATTTATATAAACATCTCATCCAGATTAGAGAAATGTACCTCTATATGCAGCCTAATAATCTTTTAATGGACCAGATTTGCTTTTATTCTAAATTGGTCGCATTCACAGCTAGTGTGTCGCAGCAGCCTAAAGTAACTCACCCAAGTCTGTTAAACATTTTATAATATTTTATAGTAGATAGGCATTGCAGTAAAGTGCAATAATTTCAAGTGGGAAATAATTAGCATCTTCACCTATATTCAATTCAATTTTATTTATATAGCGCCAAATCACAACAACAGTTATCTCACAGCGCTTTTCATAAAAGAGCAGGTCTAGACCGTACTCTGTGATGATATGCCTACACTATATGTACAGTATTTTCCTTTTTCAATCTATCCACTATGCTGAACATTACTTCAAAAAGCACAATTATAGCACCTATTAGAGAACATACAAAAATAAACAAATGTAATGCTTCCTGTGAAGTGTAAATGTTGAAATTACTATGATAAAATCAAATTATAAGCAATCAAGGGCGTGACCTTCTGAACATCTTAACAGTTAGTAGTTAATAACAACCGTGAACACAATCAAGCCATTGAGAATGATTACATAATTATAAATTAATGAATAGATTTCATTCAAGGGAAAATACGTTAAATAAGTTTCATTTGAGCATTTTTCTTTTTTTAAATTCTAGCATTCAGTAAAAGGTGAGATGTGATTACCTAAAATGCAGTCCTCTAATCGACACAGTGCTCGAGCCATTATTTATTTTTCAGGCGATTGTGACAAGTGACAAAACATTATTAGGAGTCATATTTGTCTGTAGGAATAAATATATACATAATAAATATATACAGATTACCTGAGAAGTTTTAGGTGGTGCATTTTGTTAGTAGATGTTCACAGTCATTATTAAGTTCTAGTTAAATGGACATTCTTTTTGCTTGGCACAAGCATCTATGAATTACTTTAATTATTCCTTTAGGAGTAAGGTACTGTAATAGTAGTTGAGCCCACATACTCTAATTAGTGATGTTTGCTGTTTTAAAATGTAAACCCTTTGTTCAGGTTGAGCTAAAAACAAATAATCTGCATTAAAACTTTCTTTTTGGCCTGACCCACACTTGCCAATTTAACACTAATTCCCTATAATATATGTATGATCCCCCAGAATTGAATGAATTTTTAATTTAAATAATGTGAGTCAAGCAGAGGCAACAACTCATTCTTCACACCAGGTTAATGAATGAAGGTTTGGGGTGGAACAAGCACGGCCTCTTGTGGTTGCTAAGAAACATGTGGCACAGTTTGGCTGTAGACGGCTGTAAAATGTGCACTGAGTCTGAAAATAAAGCTGCTGTCTCATCCACGTGTATTCCCTGTCCCAAATAAGTCTATGTAAGTGGGTCAGCAAGCTTTGAACAAATCTGGCTGTTTTTCCAGGCTGCGTGAAGACGCAGTCGGAGCCTTAAGGGTACAGTCACACTGATACACACTTGTAGAGGACAAAGAAATACATCAGACAGATTAAGTTTAATAAAATGTTTCACAGGTTTCCACAGGGAGCCGAAAGGACTGCAGCATTTTTTATGAAATGTAACGTAATTAATACATACATACATAACTAACAGAATCCTGTAATAATATAATAATAATAATCTTAATTTGTAGAGCACTTTTCAAAAACAAGTTACAAAGTGCTTTAACAAGTGTAGAGACAATAATACCCAAAAGACAATAATACCAAAACAATACAAGATGACATTGAAAAGACTAAAATACATGTTAAAGATAAATATAAAATAAGTAAAATAGAATCAAATAAAAGGGATAAAATAAAGTCAAATAAGAGGGAAAGGCTCTCCTATAAAAGTATGTTTTAAGAAGGGACTTAAAAGAGTTCACTGACTCAGCCGACCTGATTTCCTCGGGCAGGCTGTTCCAGAGCCTCGGGGCCCTGACAGCAAACGCTCTGTCCCCTTTAGTTTTCAGTCGAGACTCTGGAACAGACAACAGACCTCTGCCCGAGGATCTCAAGGTACGTGCTGGTGTGTATGGGACTAAAAGGTCAGAAATATAACAAGGTGAGAGGCCATGAAGTAAAAGTGATCAATAAATTCTAAAACATACTGGGAGCCAATGTAATGAAGCTAAAACAGGGGTAATGTGGTCATATTTCTTAGTTCTGGTTAAAAGCCTGGCAGCTGAGTTCTGGACAGTCTGGAGTCTATCAGTAGATTTTTGGGTTAAACAAGTGAAAAGGCTGTTGCAATAATCCAGGCGTGATGAGATGAAGGCGTGTAAAATAGTCTTGGTGTCCTTAAAAGTTAACATAGATCGAATTTTTGCTATATTTCTAAGTTGATAAAAACATGATTGAACAAGCTTTGTGGTGTGCTGCTCATTTAAATTACTATCAAACCAAACACCAAGGTTCTTTGCAACAGGCTTAATGTGATTTACTAGGGAACCAGCAGATGGCAGTATTTGTTTTGCCATCTGCTGGGACTCAATGACCAAGATTTCTGTTTTGTCTGAGTTCAGCTGGAGGAAATTATTTGACATCCATTTTTTAACTTCACAAAGGCAGTTGTTAAGTGAACTCAGCATGCCAGGGTCTGTGGATCTGACGGGCAAGTACATTAGTGTGTCATCAGCATAAATATGAAAAGATATACCATGTTTATGGATTATATGTCCAAGGGGAAGCAGATACAAGGAAAACAAAATGGGTCCTAAGACCGACCCCTGAGGCACACCATATTTAACTGGACAGAACGAAGAGACATAGTTGTTTACAGACACGCAAAACTTCCTATTTGACAGGTAGGATGAAAACCATTCTAGGGCAGTACCAGAGATCCACCCAGTGCCTCAGTCTGTCTAACATGATGCTGTGATCAATGGTGTCAAAAGCAGCGCTAAGGTTCAGGAGTACCAGGACTGAGCACATACCTTCATCAGCAGACATTAAAAGGTCATTGGTGACTTTAAGCAGGGCAGTCTCAGTGCTGTGGTACTTCCTGAAACCAGATTGTTTTTTCTAAAATCTTTGCAATAAAAGGCAGTTTTGAAATTGGTCTCAAATTTTGTGGGAGGGAGGGATCTAAACCAGGTTTCTTTAAAACTGGGTTCACGCAAGCCGTTTTAAAATAATCACACAACCAGTAGATAGGGAGCTGTTAAAAACAGAGATCAAATGGGGCCCAACAGAATCAATTACTTTCAGTAAAAACTTTGTAGGTATTACATCAAGTGGGCTGGAGGACACTCTCTTTTGTGATACTGTTTTTAAAAGCTCAGACAAGTCGATGGGATAAAACTGGTTAAAACTCTCTTGTTGCTGGTGAGGAACCTCTGAGTAAAAGGCTGTGGGGGTAATAGAGGCTCTGGTGGACACCACCTTATTGGTAAAATAAGATAAAAAACAATTCACAATCATCATTACTTCCAGCTGAGGCACAAGGAGGGGCTGGGTTTACCAGCCGATCCACAGTCTTACAGTTTTTCTCAGTCGCTTTGGTGCATTTCTCAGATCAGAATTGAAATTCTCAAAACTAATTGTTCAACCTCCACCATCATCTCGTCACTTGTGCACATCATAAAAGCACTTTCTCATTGTTTTGAACAAATTGCAAATGACTTGACACACTGTTGCAAATGATTATGTACAATTGTCTGTTGTTTCCTACATTATCAATTGCTTATGTCCTGCTGATCACAATGAATTATACCAGTCTCTGTTGAATAATCTTACCCCCCAAAACATTTAGGCATAAGTTCATTGCATTAGTCACTACATGCAAAATGGTTGAACACTTTATCAAAAATCAAAGTTAAAATACTTTATTAATTTGCACTGACAAGTTCAATGACATAAAGATTTGTTTTTGAGACATAGACTGAGGATTTTGAGCAAGTTATGGGCTTTTGCAGGTAATCCACAGTGTTGTGCCGTTTGTACTACCTGTTTCGAGAAATGCACTTACTGTTTTGCAAATGTTACGGATGATTCGAGAAATGCACCAAAGCGACTGAGAAAAACTGTAAACAAAAACCTGGGATTGTGTTTATGTGTAGTAATGAGTTCAGAAAAATAGTGTGTTCTCGCATCCTTAACCATGTTATTGTAGTTAATTAATAAATCCTTCAGACTGAGGTAATGGACTTTTTTCCATCTGCGCTCTGCTTTCCTGCATTCCCTTTTTAGGCTGCGAATGTTGTAATCCAGGGTTGCTTACTAGCTTTAGACGTAGGCCTAACCTTTAGAGGAGCAGTAATATTTAGTGACAACAAACAGATATGATTGTAGTGATCAACCAGATACAATACTGTACAGGTATTTACTGCCCACTACTACAAAAAAATACATCAGATGTCTTTATAAGCCTACATCTCCACAACTTGGCCAAAGTCACAATTATTGAGATGAGCACAATTTTCTGTCGCTCTCTCTCTCTCTCACACACACACACACTCGTGCTGCCATCACTTTATTAGATAGCCTTACATTCATTTCCTTGAGACTTATCTTCAACCTAACCCTAACTTCTACTTTCCTGACCCTAACCCTAGCCTTAAACATCAATGTAAACAGATTTACTGTATCTCCCCACAACATGAGTAATATCTCTCCAGGAACTGTACGCTTCCAGGACTCAGAGGCGAGCAGGAAAGATTGTGGCCTCCGGCGGGGGGCTGCGGTCAATCAAGACCACAAGCTCACGCCACAAAAACAGTTTCTTTCCATCTGCACCTGGCCTCATCAACAAGGTCCGCGAAACTCAGTGACACACACTGTCACGCCCCTCTATCTACCCCTTTTTACAGTACATACTGTAAATTTGTGAAGTGTAAACCTGATTCTGATTTTGTAAATTTGGTGTAAATATGTTGCACAATCTTACATACTGCACATATTGTTGCACGTATTCTTTATTAGTATTTTCCTACAAATGTTGATACCTTGTCAATTTAATATTTTTACATTTATACATTTTATGTTTATTGTAATGCACCAAAGCAAATTCCTTGTATGTGTAAACCTACTTGGCAATAAAGCTGATTCTGATTCTTCTGATTACGATACATTTACAGACACAAACACACCCACACATTAACACAAATAAATACGTGACTTTGTTTACAGATCTCTAGGAAAATGTAAAAACGTTGTTCTTCCACACACAAATATTCATAAACCTGCACACTCCCAGTTCAACCACTTTGCCACTTTTCACCCTTTCATCCTCTCTATGTTTGTCCCAGAATGACAATTATCTATACAGTACACTGACACACTTCTCTGTACATTCTGTACATTTGTAGGAAGGCTCTGTTCCTTTCTACCAGATCATAGTTACAGGCTGAAAGAAAGGATTATAATCCTAATGTCTCTAATAATTATTCATCTTTTTTGAAACTGGTAAAGCTTAAAGGAATAGTTTGTCATTATGGGAAATACATATTCACTTTCTTGCTGAGACTTACATGAGAATATCGATATTGTTCTTTGTCTCTGTCTCCCCTACTAAAATCACAATGTGTCTTTTTAACACTTTTTGTGCAGATGAAACAAACAACATACACCATGTTAATTGGTGAGCGTTAGGGGGATTTTAAAAAATCTTTGGACATAGACAGACTAACTGGCGGTAGCTTCATATTCACAGTGCAGACCATAGACTGTATCTAAAGTAAATATTCTTATCTAACTCTCAGCAAGAAATGGAATAGGCACACATTGGACAATGTTAAAGTCTTCCGATTCTATTCTATCTACTATCTGACAGACAGACTGACAGACAGACAGACAGATAGATAGATAGATAGATAGTTCTCTCCCCTTACATTAGAGTGACGGAATGAAACAGTTTATCAGACTCAAGTTTGACCAGTAGGCGATCCCTTTGATAATCTGATACGTCACTGAAGAGCTGTGCTGACTTCCACTCTTCCACTGTCTCCGTTTTTAAACATCATGCTCCACGAGAGCAGCCTGCAGGGCCTTGTCGTTGTGGTCGTTGTCATGTGCCTCAGAGGGAAGTGAGTCATATATACGACGGTACAAAAACCGATTGACCAGAGTGATGATGAACATCTCCATGATCATCATCTGCTGACTCAGCACTGCAGGACACAGAGAGAGAAGAAAATCAGGGTTTCAGATGGACTATTTCACTTCACACATCAGCAGAAAGACATTCAAAGATGTTCCTTACTGGATCCACGAGCTTGAGAGGAGAAGGGAGGGGCACAGGCGATGGTTCCATCCAAGGCCAGGATGTTAATGATTGATGTCTGCAGCTGACTCAATACAAGTACTAGCTAAGGAGAAAACAAATAATTGATCACTTACTGTATTTACAGTATACATGCATGTTAAAGGTGCACTGTAGCATCTCTAAATATCTATATGTTTTAGTAGGAGTCTGGTATTACGACACCAAACAAATGCAACTACAGCAAAGAGGATTGGTGTTCTCTAACTCTACTGTACGTCACACTGGCAGGTATTTGAAGTGCCACTACATTTCCTGACACTACATTTCCCATAAACCCAGTTGCTTTTTCAGTGTAACATTTTCTCTTTTGCTCCGCTGAATAGGATGAACACACTGGAAGGAATTTCTCCATAAAGCTGTCTCACCACATTATCTGCCATTAGAAGAAACTTACGAAAAGTGTACACAAAGTAAAACAAGGAAGATAAACTTAATTGTGCAGTAAAAACTATTTGACACAGAAGAGTGGGAGAGGCTGGTATTGCTCTTAGTATTAGGTTTATTTGTTTTCACTAGTGTGACTGGATTTAAGTTCAAGCAAGGTATTGATTTAAAATTACTACACAAAGTAGCTCATGTTGTTATTTTTAATGTTAATGTATAGACATGCAGATAAATACAAAACATCCAGGTATCTTTTTTGCAACTTATTCAGGACTGTAACATACACATAACAATAGTTATGTTGACTCACTTGGTACATGGCGTACTTGGGCACAATTTTGAGGCTGCGTAGAAATATGTTAGTGTTCATGAAGACGATGGCAACCGGCCAAAGGGAGGTGATAGTGAGAATGCCAATGAATGGGTTAATCCAAATGGCCGTACCAGTGATCTCTAGCTGAAAGAGAAGCAAAGTAATATTTAAATATCATGTTTATTTAATTTTCAGTACATGAACATATGTAGAGAAGCATTTCAAATACTTACGTCAGAGAGATCAAAGTTGCCGTTTGTCCACAGTATTATGGCGAGGATAGAGAGCACCGTCTTTAGGATTGCATACTGAAGCGCACCCAACTTCAGCCAGAACAACAGTCGCCTGAGTGATCCCATCCAAAGAAAGTTCCACATTGTCATAAGACAATATATAAGAGCAGGATTAAATTACCTTGAAAATCTCACTTTAAGAGAAGTAAAGAACTTGTTAGAGCCAGAACAGTAATGCCTAGACTATGTTTTTACAAACAGGTATACATACCGTGACATGGGCACGCGGGGTAAACATGGGCAGCAGCAGCAGCAGGGTCCTGTGTTGATCCTAAAGGTTTTACCAGAAAACCGCTCCAGAAAAACACTGCTGCCCCCAAACTCCTCGATCATCAGAACCAAGACCTTATACACCACGACTGCAAAATAACTACACAGGGAAAGATAAGTAATTTAGACCTGTAATAGAGAGCAGGGATATAATAATTCTCAGTACTGAACTTTATGGTAAGTTTAAGACTTCTTTTACTCATTTATTAAATAAAAGCATACCTGCTCTTGATATGTGAGGACAAATCAAAAACTGTAAGTGTACTGTATGTAATTTACATAGAAAGCGCATAACAGTTATCACTACAGGCAAAACCCCATAAAGATTTCCGTCATTTTATTGAAGTTGAGCACATGCTGGATGGAGATGTGGCCCGATCTTTGAGTGTATAATCATTTATTGAGTGGTTAAACTTTACAGTGATCTTCAAGTTCGTACAAGGCTTTATTGTATTTACTCAGCAGTCATTTAGCCCATGCTCTGTTCTGATTATCTTGCTGTGAGAATGCATGGACGGCCAGGGGGGCAGTGTCTTGCTAAAGGAAACAGAACTGTTGGATTGAAAGTTACATTTGGGATGATTTATCTGACCAAAACTAAACTTCTGTAGGATTTTCTTTCAGCAAATTGTATTTAGTACAGGCTTATTTACAGTCTGTAAATGTTTCAAAGTCCATTGAGCTTTATTGAATTAAATAAAACTACATGGAGGGAACTATATCAAAGAAGGATATGGATTTATATTAACAAGAAAGCTGAAATGTCTAACAAGATAACTGCAGTGGTGAGTTCACTGAAAAGTAGGTCCTAGCTACCTGTCACAGCTATTAGATAACAGACAATCACTACTCACTGACGTAAGAAAAGGAAACAGATAAGAGAGAACATAATTTTGTTTGGATTTAATAACAGCTTCCGTGAGGCTTTGACGGCACTCCTTTGGCCAAGATTCATGGGGAATAATAATATGACTTGAATTTTACTATAATGACATGGTGATGTGTATTTATGTCATTATCAATTATAGGCAATGGACAGAAACCCCAATTTCAGCTTTCAGGCTTTTAGAAATGTCAATGAAAGAATCCCCTATACTGTGTGCAAAAATATGTTGCTCTGTGTACTAATTTAAGTGCAATTGGGAGAAAATTTACCAATTAGATGTCATGTCTGTGAGCATGACTGCCCTCGGGATCCACATCCCAAAACAAGCCATGGTTGCAATGACCTGAAAGAGAGAAATACATTAATGCGCATTCCATTTCCCCTGTTTCAATCAGACGACATGTTGTATTTCAAAGGGCCTTCCACAAATACAGTGGTTGATGAAGTTTACATTTCTGCTGGTTATAGGATTAGCAGCACATTCTAACAACAAGACAGGCCAAAACGCTTACTGGTGCTGCTCCATTTATCCACATGATGGTGGTCTTCTTGGGGTAGGGCAGTTTTTTATAAATGTAGACACACTGTTCCAGGTATAGCAGCAGGGACATGCAGGACATGAAGGTGAACATGGAGTACAGCCAAAATTCAAACACATCTAGCTCTGATATAAATACAGTAAGAGCAGAGAGGGAGAGAGAGGGCTTAGATTATTTAATACAGTACATATATACATATTATGTGAAATAAATCCCACACAAAACACAAAAACAGATTTTGCTTTGGTTAAAAAAGTTACTTTTAAAAAAGTTGATTCTTAAAGGGCTTTTCAGCACAATGCAGTAAAATAGCTTACTGTAGCCTACATTCAAGACTATGTACTATTAAGGACTCACAGATATTTTATTTTACTTTGTGTGGCCTTGTTATATTTTGCAGCAGAGGCAAACACATGATCAGAGAAGAAACCACTATCAAATGGTACACTCACAACTTTCAGACACACAGATACAAGCCTGATGTTGCTGAGTGAACTGCTAATAGCATTAGGTCGGTTTGGTTGATAAGGAACACTATCAGCAAGCAGGATGTGGTAATGGGTCACTTACGCTTTATCACGTCGATAGCCAGCGGGGGCTCTTGTAAACAAGCCGGATCAATCGTGCTGTTGAGGGCTTCCTCCATGGCATGCAGATATTCCTCTTGAGAAACTCAGTTTAAAATGAAATGGTCTGGACAATTTAAAGTCAACTCAGCTGTCTGCCAGTGGATTCTAGCAGCACATTCAACAGCAAGAGTACTTTACCCTTTAGGAGACTTTTAAGAAGTGAAGGTGGGATGAAAGGTTCGGAGCTTAATGTTTATGGGAACTCCATGAGTAACTGCGGCTCATTCATTCACAGACTTAAGACAGTAATTAAAATAACGCCAAGGTCAGAGTTGAACTTTGACAGGGTGTGTTGTTTCATTTCCAGTAAATATAAAGGGATATAAAAAGCTAAAGAAATTTCCTTCAAGCTCCACTTATGAGGGAGGCACATGTATATTTTACACATACAGTGCCTCTGACTTACACTAAATTATTTTCCTTACATTCATTTGAATTTGAACAACCATGGATTAGCTGGGAAATGACTGCATGAGTACTTCTTGATACTTTTAAGTACATTTGGCTGAAACTACTATCACACTTTTACATAAGTAAGATTTTGAATAGAGGCCTTTTATGGGGTGTTTTCACAATGTGGTATTTAAGTATAGGATCTGAATGAAATTTGGGTGTTTGTCCTTCTAATACTTCTTGAGTGAAAGAATTAATGACATTAAAGTTTTGGCACAGTAATGTCATTAAAGTTTAAGATTAACTTTTTCCAAAGAAAGCCAAGTGTTGAAACTCTTACAACTTCATCTATTGCATTGTAGTGGAGATGTGAATGGCACAGAGGTCATTCACATTACACCGGCTAATCTGGTTTCCATCTCACCACATTTCTGCAATGAGTCAACTGTCACACTTGCCCGAGCATGTCAGCAGCATCCAACTTTTGTGATTTTGCAAAAGTGAGGAGTGCATTCTCCTGTCACAACTATCTGTAAAATACAAGTGCTTTGAACATTGTATCTGTATTTCACCAGTGCTTAAACCTGCTTATAACTGCTCACTTTTTAACTGAAAGGTTGGGGTCTATAATTTCATGCCGTTAATGGTGAATATAGAATTTGTAATTGTTGCTTAAAGGGTTCATTTTCATGGGGCTGAGGCGCCATAATCTCTCTATTGGAGTGTATTGTTCCACATGTTCCTTTTTTAGCATCTTTTCTATAGGCATAATAGTTTGAAGATGGAAGATCCACCACTGAATTTTACTTAGCCTAGCACATATCACAGTGCCACAGTATTCTACTTAGTGGACACACAGTATGGAGCTGCAGTGACTACTTCAGATTTTACAGCCATGTTAACAGCTCTGAGACTGTACTCAAGCACAGAGGTGCTTTGAGCTACATGTAAACATCTGCATGCTAACATGACCAACTGAAATTTTGACCTGATGATGGCACTAGATGAAAAGTGAAGGGATCATCAAAATTGCAATTCATCTACAGGGGGAAATAAATGTCTGCACCATATTTTATTGCAAATAATCCAAGTTATCCAGCCAAAAATATTAACCACTTATTTTAACTATTGTGTCATACTTGAATTACAGATGTGACTGTCACAGGAAACAATTTGACGACGATGATGAATTTCGAGATGGTGAAGAGCCCAGATAAGTCATATCAAATACATGTGATTTCACTGGAAATAGATCTGGTTATGACAAACATCTAAAGACATATAGCTGTAATCCACAACAGTAGTCAGCAGAGTTGTTCCATAGTCAATTAAGAATTTTATATTCCTCTAATTTGTTACAGGTCACAGTGCATCAGTTTTTATGATGAAGAATCACACCTTATAGTTTCTTAAATTATATTTATTGTTACAAAACAATGAAGATCCCCCTGTATGAACAATGCTGTCTCATTAAACAAGTTCTTCACAGGCACAACTGCATTAGCAGCTCTGGCTGCTTTGTCTAGTCATTGAAGTTAGTTAGTTAACTTCTGTAAGCATATTCACATGGACTACCACTCAGTCAGTAATATCTACAAAGAAATTTTATCTTCTCATTAGTCAGGGAAACGCCACATTGTACATCATTTCCACTGAAAAGAATGGAATATAATGAAACAGCTGCCAGGAGAACAGAGCGGAGCATTTATGATGACCACAGGCTACTATTTCATCGCTGGTATTTAAATTCCACCTTATCGATCCTGGTTCAGGCTCAAGGACAAAGTGGATCTAATGTTCCTGACCTTTCAGACCATTTCTTTTAATGACTTTATTGTTAATGGTTAATTTTGTGCTCTTACTTTCCAACTCTTAAAAACATCTTATAATCAAACTGGAAAAACAAATGGAATGAACACAGATTTAATCCTTGGGGATTAAGATTGATTAATTTTAAAAACAAATACATACTGCAGCAAAGGATTGATCATGAAAGTGAAAATGTTCTGTAACAAAGAGGACAAACCTTTAGGTCCATACCTTTTTTAAAAAACTAAATAAATAAAAATACAACATAAACCATTCCAATAAAATCAACAGATACATAAAAACAATGAAATTAATGTATCAAGGCTTGCAAACAAATAAATTAAATATATTTATAGTGCAATGAAAAATCTCATTGATAATTCCCTTCACTATGTGATCTGTTGGTTATGTGTCTTCAAGAATTATCTGATTAAACCATTTTAACTGTAGTTTAACTGGATTTGGTCCTGACATTTGAAACATATCACCTACATGTTTGACCACAGTATAAAATTTGAAATGTAAAAAAACTAAACATCTTAAAAGTGTAAACAGAAAGACCTTTACATTTTTTCAATCATGTAAACTGTAAACTAAATTAGACCATTTGATGGTTGACTACTGGTCTGAATAATTGCACTGTGCTTGGAGTTTAAAACTGCTAAAACATATTGCACACTGTTGACAGTGCTGAAATGTTTCACCATTTTGTATCAGATATCATGCAAATATCGCTTTACTGGCTCCCACTTGTCTACATCAAACACAACCAGACTTGAGGTTTAGTTATTAATGCTTGAAGAATACTGAAAAAGGATGATTTGAAAACATTTGAATGTCTTTGGCTCAAAACAAAAACAAAACCTGTGAATCACCTCGGCTTCAGACTGCTGAAGAGTACAAGGTCACTGCTGATGTGATATTGTTGTTGTGCTAGTTTAAAAGCACACTGGATGAAGGATGGTCCGTTTAATGTGCATACAAAAAAAAACATCTGGCTTGAGGCTGCACTGTCAAAAAAAATGAAGGTGGAGGACGGCTCCTGCAGAGGTGCTGATGCTCCTGGTTTAAGGCATAACAGTTGATGAGCTCTTTACTGGTGTGGCTGTGACGTGCAGGAACAGCCAACAAAGTACAAATCAACACAGGAGGAGGACAAACCAGCAAAACTCTACAGTATTCGTTTTCCACATACATGCTATGGCTCACTCTCCATAGTCACTGAGACTATCTGGCCACCGTCTGAAAGGAAACAGTGAGGACATTAAGAGATGGCTCAGGAACTGTTCTGGGTTGCTTTTTGAGCAGGAAGGTAATTACAAAAAACACAACATAAGCCATAATGTGAAACAATGAAAATGTGAGAAAAGCCATCAACAACATACCACTTTGCTCCTTGCTGTTACTGTGTTGTGTATTGTTACCAAGCCCACAAGGGTTGGTCTCCGCCTCAGCAGGACTGTGATTAAAGTCACATTAGATATTAACACCCAGCAAACAAAAATGAAAGGAAACAAGTTAAATATTTGATAAAGGAAAAAATAAAATAAAAAAAACACTCACCTTTTGCCATTTTGCTGGAGGACACTTTTTGCTTGTTCGGGATCTATGTGTACCAGTCTGGTAACAAATGAATGTCCATCTCCCAGACTGATAAAAGAGATAAAGACGGCATTAGTAAACATGTTAGCATTTGATTGATTCAGGGTATAATTGTAATTTGGTAGTATTTCTTTTTTCTCCACTCCATTAAAATAGCTTTACTGTAATGTTTACTATAACACTGATGATAGATATGGACTTTATAGGTCTGCTAATACAGAGCTAATTACCCTTAAGCAGAGTGTTGCCACAACAGTATATCTGCCAATTTATTTGCATCATTGTGATTGCTAAGGGGATTGATAGCTGCAGTTATATCAGGTCAGAGTAGACTCACCTTGAGAAAACAGGAAACATCCAGTACTTCCCTTGGTCTCCAAACACCTCACATACATTTCGTCTAAAACCCAGGGAAAACCCGTTTTTGTCTGGACCGTTTGAGAAGACAGGAGCTCTAAAAGCCTCTGAAAATTGATATAAAAACATAGTCAGTCACAACGTTTTAATGATATAATCCGAAGTTGATTAAATTATATCTTTATCTATAGCTACCTATAGTGGTCCTGTTCTTTCCCACAAGCCACAGATGATAGCTGAGAAGTGACAGGACGCTGATAAAGAACAGAGCCGCCACAAAAAACAGAAACAAGATGTGGAATTTGGCGTGTGTGTCAGGCAGCTGTTTCTTCAGAAACAACAAAAAGAATGAAAGTGTTAGCCTAATCAGCCTGTAGGTCTGCAAGTATATTACTTTGTCCTCATGTCGAGTCATCTTTGCCTAATAACTGACGGCAGCAAAGTGGAAAATTAAACTTTCTAAAAATTATTCTTCTTTATTTTGTTGCCTCAATGCAACATCTCACCTTTGTCTTAATTAGTATTTTTTTCTATAACACAATATACTCCTTCACTGTTGTACGTGACAGGAACCACTGTCTCATGCAAAGCAGTACACCAAATAGGATCCCCTGATAAGTGACCGCATGACACACTAGTGCACCATGGTGACACATTTGTAAACAAGTGGTTGATATCTTACATTGCAGATTAGTGGCTGATCACGTGTGTCACCACAGCCTGGCTGCACTTTAAATAATTGAATTCAAGAAGATTTAAGTTGATTTATGTCCAAAATGGCAATGTATTTTCAGTTTAAAAGAAAGCGTGTTAATAGTCTTTAAACCCAAGGCTGCAGAACATCGATCTTATGAGTAAAACATGGTCCTACAACAACGTTTAATAAACTGTGACCACAGTTTTTTTTTTTTTAAACAAAAAGAGAGGAAGTTTTTGTACTTACCGTCCAAAATTTGATGAAGTACTGGATGACTGTAGCACAAATGACTACACAGTAGAGTGAGGCGTAAGCCAAGAACAAGACAAAGTACTTGTAATTTGAGAATCCAACACAGTTATTCACCCTGAAAGAAAACATAACGGAAAATGAGACAGAAAGTGAAATATGCTCATTTAGATTAAATGCAGAGTTCAATTAGAAAAGCCTACCAGGGGCAGTGATGATCCATTTTCAGCACACACCTTGAAGAATGAGTATAAGGAAAACATACATCATATTAGTACCATCAAATCCAGTTAACCAGAAGCACTTACAATGCATGAGCAGGTGAAGGTGTCAGAAAAAATAAAATGCCCAATATTTTAATAAGGAAATGTGAATCAATCTGTATTTATGTTGAACATCAAAATGTGGGTGAGGATATCGTTTTAAAACCCTGGTTCAAAACCACCATTTGCAGCAAAAAACGCTTTGTTTAATCACTTAATGTCTTATTATTTCTCAGCATTAACACATTGGCATATTCCCCCCTTTTCTCTATTCACTTTCTTTTTCCAGAAGCTGCAGTTAACGTTCTTGCAGACAGATATCAGAATCAGTTTAAACACTTTTGCTCCTTTGAGGAAAACATAAAAGTAAAAAATTAAAATGATGAGATGAGGTTAAACTATAAAGTGTGTACACTCACATCTCACAGGTTGAGCAGTGATGGCAGCGGTCAGGTTTGATTACCTGGCAGTGGTCGCAGTATCGGATGGCTATTTAGAGAAAGTGAAAGTAGAATTACTACTGTACCCCGCCCCCACAGCGCTCTTGTATGAAAGACTGCACCATCAGTTTATGTCAGGTAGTCGATATTTCAACTAAATAAGAATTTGAGGTGTATTCTGTATTGTACATTTGGAATACTTTGCAAAATATTTCATGTGTTTAGAAAAGTCCTGCAATACATCATTAATTCTATAAATGTTTTAATATAAATAGGAAAGATTTATCTTTATAAAGTGTCTTTTCAAATGTCCCTATGAAACCAACTAGGCTGTTGATGAGTAGAGGAGTCAGGTGGGGCCTGTAGAGGAAGCGAGATGCACCTGAGCCCAATTAACCCTCCTGATACGTGCAGTTCCGCAAACACAAGACAGATGAGCCTGGTAGCAGCAACAGGGTATACATACAGTACTTCCTTTTCTAAAGATACAAACACTTGCACTTTTATCCAAAAGCGGAAGACACAATGTAGCAACACATTTGCGCAATTTAATTGGTACTGCTTATTTTATGTTGTGTACGAATGACAAACATGAACTGAACAATAAGGAAAAGTGTTTCAGTGAGATATAGCTTTTCCCCGGTGGTATGCTTGAAGGCAGCTACCCGGCATTAAAATAGTAAGCCAGTCAGTTAGTTTGGCTGCTGTGGTGAAAGCCTCACCTCCTCCTGCCGTGCGCGTATACACGGGTAAATTCCTCGCCACTTTCTTCAGAATCTCTTGTTGCGTCTCGGCTCGCTCCTCTCGCACATATAGTTCCTTCTCTGCTCTGGGCAGACAGAACTAACATGAGGAGAAAAAACAGGTCAGGGGAAGCCCAACAAACTGTAAACAGCTTCTTGTGAAATTATATTAGTTTTCTATATGTGTATATTTATTTACCAAATCCTACTGTAAACTCTTGGCTTACCGCTTTTGAGGGGCTGGAAGGTTTGGACCCGATAGTTTTCCAGTAAGACCATATAAACATGGAGAGGAAAATGTGAAAGATGACCAAATAGCTGACTGTTGAGACAGAAAAGGTTTGAGCTGCAGTAACTCTGGCATCTCTGAAATAATCTTTGCTATGAATAATAAGAAATGTGAATGGAGAAAATGAACAGTGTGTGGGGGGAATACTTACTTCGTTCTGCATTATCTGGGATTGTATCTATATAATGCAAAGGAAAACACATATTAGTGAGCAGTAATGAAGGTCCTAAGAATGCATGACTACACACCCCACCCACACACCACCCCTTTCTCACACCATGTGGCAGCAGCCTGGCACGGCCAGCAGTGGCCCACCCATAACAGAGAGCTTTGTTTAAGCAGCAGGGATGTCCCTGTCCTGACCACAGCCGCTGGGTTACAGACATAACTACAGTACGACTACATGCTGATAATGGTCATTCCAGGCTGAAAAAAACCAAACTACTGTGAATGCAGGGTCATATACTGATTAATAAGCTTGGATGATCACATTGGATTATGAGATAAAATTATAAATCACTTAAGGTCATCTAATTCATTCAATTACAGATTAATTACAGTAAACAATAAAGCATGTGTATTTTTTCACCAGTGTTTGGGTGAAGGTGGTTTGGTTGCTTGCTTGTAAAGCAAAGGTTAACAGCAAACCTTGTCATTCTTCTCCAGCACTCATTACATCTTCCCATAGACAATGAATAACATATGGTGTTTCAGATGGTTAAATTATAACCATGTCTCATTATGGTTAATCATCATGATTTTACACCTTGCTCCCAAGGTGTGTCCATTAACGTATTATTAAAATAATATAAAAAATGTCAACACGTAATCAAATATATATATATAAATATATATAAAAATAAAAAAAGTAAGATAAACCCATTACAAGGCGATTGTACACGCTACGAGACTGTTTCCATGTAACTGTTAACTGTTTTGTTAACGTCATAACGTTACATTGCTGTCATGGAGGATTGCGTGCATGTCAATTGATAAACAAGCAGAAACAAAATGATCCTGTATAATATTGTCCTGAGTTTTAACCGCATGTAAAGTTTTACAGTAACTTGTGATGATTTTAAATCTCACTTTAACTAACTTAACGTTAGCTCATCAAAGTTGGCAACCCTGAAACTGTCAACACAAGAAGATATCCGCCCCGCGGTAGCTAGATACTTAATAAAAGTGAGTGTACTTACAGACACAGAGCTCCACAACATAAGCGTAATAAGACCAACCAACAACCAGATTTATGAACAGGACAGGTATCCAGTTCAGAGCCCGCTTACAGCACCTCAGTACATGAGAGGGCGCCATCTTTAATCCGTGTAGGGCTCTGGGTGACGTCATAGCCATGGCTTTATATGGCCGAGCCAAAGACGTCACAGAAACCGAGACACTCAGGAGCATGCGCAGATAACTCTGTAGTTCTTAGGCGCACCGCATGTAATTTGAATGTAATTTTAAGGCTCAAAAGTGTGCCTCGATTTGACTACAGAGGTGTACGACGGCGTATTAAGGCCATTTTAGATATAAAAATTAGATGGGGGCTTAATAGTCCGAGAAAAAAATGATCTTCTCACATGAAAAGATCTTAGTTTGCAAATACTCAGCCACCTCCCAAGCTTACAGAAAGTGTGTTTTAATTTAGCACATTAAATTGCATGGACATTTGGGCTGATAATGACTTTCAGCCTGGAAAGTACCGCTCTGTATGGATGCAAAGAACGTATTAATACTCAGTGAAAGCACGTTTTGTGTTTAGCTACTAGACATGGAAGAACATGACAGAAAACAAGTCGCATCCAAACAAAATGTTAATGTTCTTTTTATTTTATTTGCAGTGAAGAAACATTGTGTATATTATGATATATTGCACTTGCAGGTGAATAAACCAGTAATAAATTACTTCCTTTTTTTGTTTAATCCATAGCATAGTTAGCATATGGGGTCATGTCCCCACCACATTTTGAAATGCCTGATTTTGTCCCCATCACTTTTTGAAAGCATTTGTTAAAAATGTTCTGAAAAATAGCTTGCACCAAGAAATGTAAAGACATTTTCACTGTAAATTGGAGCAGAAAATATCTCCAGAGTGTTTAATGCTCCAATTTTCTAGGGGGCAGAGGACCCCCAGACCTCGCTCTCATATTTTATTTCTTCAAAATAGTGTTCAAAGTCTTCTTGTCTTGTTCTCGTTCATCGTTACGTCTCATGACCCAAGTGTATCATCATACCCCTTATCTCAGCCCTTATGTCCCCACCATTTTTCAACACAAGGTGACACCCTTACTTAGACATATTATGTAGCCCACCAGATTAATGAGCCCAGATTAATAGCCTGTAAGACCAATAAAGATTACCAAAGCATGATGAACTCATTGTACATGTCTGCTGTATGTGGAGGCAGCTTTTAGAGAGGAGTGTGTCTCCGTTTCAGGTGAGGAGGGAGAGGATGGAGAGGAAGGAGGGGAGTGAGAGGAGGGGGATGGGGAGGAGGGGGAGGAGTCAGGAGAAACTGAGCGTCTTCTGGTGGGGCTGCTGCTAGGGGAGCCACGGGGTGAGGAGTAAGGTGACAGGGCCTGGAGCATACGGCCACTCCGCTCCTGGATCACATGCTAAACAAGGACAGGAAAGAGTTTTACTGTGTTGTAATGTGCTGCAATGGTACAATTCATTACATTGTGATAAAATACTCTGTGATCAGCTCATTGAACTCATTTAGTTGTGCATTATAGGTTATAATAACTTTTATTCTTAATTTGCAAGAAGAGGTGCATTGTAAAAACCATAGGCGGTCTTGGATGTTTTGGTGCCTTATGCTGGCCCCACACTAGAGGATAACTATAATCGCGGGGGTGTTCCCGATCCCAGGCTGGACGGAACAGATTATCGGCTCAAATGATCCTGTAATGTGAGGGGTTTACAGATATAATCTTGAGGTCACCGACTGGATCAGAGACTGCCCGGTTTCCAATCGTAAATATTTATTTATCATATTCTTTAATATAATCCATTTGGTCAAGCAAGCAGAGAGAGTTTTTCTACAGCTATAATAAGTGAGCTACTATTGTTACTAACCTTTATTTCATTGCCCTGGGAGCATGCTGTTTGCAGTGAGTGGGAGTTTTGTTGTACCTTGTCTTACCTTGTGCATTCACGCACAGTGAGTTTTTACATCCTGTTTAGGACCTATGTATGATACAAAAACGTCGACTTTACAATTCCTCCGAAGTTAGTTCCATTTATTATCTAATGGGATTTTTTCTGAAGTTGAATTAATTTAACAACTACGTTTATTATTATAATAGAAACACCACTGTGGTGCTGTTGGCTATGTTGTTATACCCTGTTCACAGTGGGCATGCTTTGATTTAATTACTTATTGATTATAACATTTCTAACTGGCAGATTGTGGCTAGCTGGGCGCTGCTGGTCTGTTTCCTTAGTTCAGCTATTCGTAGCTGGTTGGAAAATGGCTTCCCAAGTGTGTTTTTGCGATGCGAGCTGTTTTCCATCTGCGCCTGGACAGCTGGGAAAAATACATGTCAGACAAGTGGGTTCTGGCTACTGTGGCAACAAAAACAGAATCCAATTTCTGCAGGATCGCCCTCCCTATTTCAGGTACCATTTGACCGTGGTCAATGACAGGGCACAGACTTTAGCCAAAGAGATTTTAACCATCCTGCAAAAGGAGGCGATAAAGAGACCATGGTGTCTACAGATGCCTCCTTAACAGGCTTGGGTACAGTCTGGGAAGGCAGGATGGTGCAGTGTATATTCCAGGGATGGAGAATCGTGCAGCAGATCTCCTGTCGAGGACAGGCCCTCTCCCAGGCGAATGGAGGCTACATCCAGAGGTTGTAGCTCTACTATGGTCCCGTTTTGGCAGAGCTCAAACCAATCTGTTTGCATCAGCAGAAACAACTCATTGCGAGAGCTGGTTTACGCAGTGGGATCAAGGGACTTCCTTAGGCACGGATGCTATGTTACAAGAATGGGTGACAGGCTTGTTGTATGCGTACCCTCCACTGCATTTGCTGTGTCCTGCTTTCATGAGGCAGTTGGGGGAGTGTCCGTCAGGAGATACTCCTTAGTGTCTCACTTCATGAAGGACGTATACCGCCTGCAGCCAGGCAGGATGTTAAGAGCTCCACCATGGGATCTCCCTTGGTGTTGCAATCAGTGACTCAAGCCCCTTCTGAGAATCCCTCGTTCCTCCCTAATGTAGTGAACTCCCAGACAGCGAATAAAGTGTTATCATCTCATTTTAACCAGAATTGGCCTCTGCTATGGGCAGCATAGACCTACAAACACTGTGTCCAGTAAGGGTGTAAAAGGGTGTACTCGACACACTCTCCGCCACTGAGACGCTCACACTCACAGTTGTTTGTTTGTTACGTTACGATAACAAATTAGACTTTCCTGTATCTAAACAATGTCTATCACACTGGGTGGTCAACACCATTTCTCGTGCGTATGATGGGCAAAACTTTGTTGACAAAGCCATCATTCCATCATTCAAGGTAAGACTTTGGTCACGGTCATCATTCGGTCTCGTAGATCTATAGTTTTAGCTGAAACCTAATGTTATTAAAGGCTCTGTACTCTATTAAGCAGGGTATTCAGATGTTAATAACAACAGCCATCACATATAAGCTTCAATGAGTGTGTTGTATGGATTAATGTAAAAGTAAACATGCCCAGGCTCCATCGGGTCCAAAAAGCTCCAGGAAGTTGCCAATGAATTCTCGGGACTTCTCTTCCCACTTGTGGATGAGGTCTTGGCTCTTCTCTTCCACTCTGTAAACAAAGTGTTTGGACTTTTCCTCCACCGTACGGACCGTCTCTTTCATCTTGTCCACCTGGTTCTGGAGTCGGTATTTCTTGTCCTGTCAGTAAAAGACAAAGCATCAGTACATTTGTGATTTTTCTGTATTGTTCAAACATCAATATTCTCTTTATTAAATCAAAGAAATAGAATTTCACTAACATTAATGAATCCAACATTCAGTTCTCGGGCCGTGTAGCCTCTCTGCAGGTTGCGTCGAACATAGATGTCATAGTCTCGGACAATACGAGTGATCAGATCAGATGTGGAGATGCCTTCTGTCCTCTCAGTGGCAACAAACATTCCTGACATAAAAACATACATGATTAAAGTGAAATGACAAATGACGGAACTAGAATTCATTATGATGGTTACTTATATGAATATACACATCTTCACCTGCTTCCTTGATGTGCTTATAAACATCCTCTGATCCAGCAGAGGTGTACGGGATATCATCATGGGCCACAAAGTCAATCTGTGAGTGCAACATTACAGTGTTCATACTGATTGAACACCAGCTATCTTTGTTGTTGTCGCTGTGTGACATTGTAAGAAGCTGTGTATCCAGTGACTGCGTGAACCTTTGACCTTGTGTTTCTTGAGGAACTCTGTGGTAAGGGTCCAGGGAGCATCTCGCACCACCTCGTCAACATAGCGGCAGTGCCTCAGGGAGTCGTAGCGTTCATCCTCTGTCATCACCGTGTAGCCCTTAAACTTGTGGGTGAGTTCGTCACTGCAGACTAGAGACACAGATAGGGAAGACCTGTTACATAAACATGACTAAGCCTAAGTAAGACTTTATCTGGAATTACTTAACTGGGGGATTTGTCTCAAGATTTGGAAGCGGGCTCTCACCACTCACCCCTCCCTTTCCAAGTGCGAAGGAGAAGCTACTGTGGCCGACACGCTCTGTTGGCTCTTGTGCTGAATAATACGTGTGGTCCTCCATTTGTCCAAATTTCACTTTAATAAATGAGACAACTTCTACTACTAGTACTACTACTTCTTCTTCCTTCTTCTTCATACGTATTCAATGTAGTGACGAAACGCACTCTGCAGAGAAGTTTGTCCGTTTGGGATACTGTAGAAACATGGCGGCGCAAAATGGCTTCCATGTAAGAGGACCCGCTGTGTATGTAGGTAGAAATGGCTCATTCTAATTAAAACATAACGGTTCATCATGTAAGGTATTTATATACCACTGAATACATAGTTATTTATATTATATTGCATTTCTGTCAATAGTTCCTCCTAAATATTCCACACTGGACCTTTAAAGGCCATTTTGTTCCAAGATTAGGATTCCTGTTCAGTTAATGACACGCTGTCTAATTTATCCAGCATGTTTTAGTGCAGGGTTTTCTCAATCGTTTTCCTTTTAAAGCAGAGAGAGGGAGTAAGATCCATACATTACCTCCTACAATCAGGTACGTGTTGGGAAACACATTTTTGGCCTGCATCAGAGCTCGAGCATGCCCCGAATGGAAAAGATCAAAGATCCCATCAGCATAGACTCGTACCGGACGATGAGCTACAAAATAAGAAATATGAAAACATGTCTTTAAACACCAACATGACATTACAATACATCGCTTTCTGTGCAGATACCAATATCAGATCTGCTAATCAAGACCTTAATACTTATGTTCTGTTGCTAATTCTTTAGTCAAGTGGCGTGACTCATACCTGGAAAAAAGATCATAATACCAACCCTACAATCACACAGATAACAAGCAAAAACAATATTATACTAATAATTTAATCACTTTTTACAGCTGATGTTAGCTGATAACAGCATGATCAAGTTAGTAATTTTCTCTCTAGTCTTCCCTTATTCCTTGCTGCCACTATCTTAGACTAACAGGTTCTGAGGACATCCTCAGTTACATAGCTTACATAGCAAATAGCAATGGAAACAAAACACTATTAAGAAGTGTGACCTGGTGTACCCCTCCGTGCTTGGGCAATGGTCAGCTTTTCATTGGGGATCTCTGATTCGCAACCTGTAGACTTGGCAAAAGCAGCTGGCTCCCGCAGAGCCTGAATACAGAGACAAGAGAGAGGGGAAAACAGTACGTTTTTGATCAGATGCTGTATTTTTCCAGTTCAGTTCATCCATCATCTACACCACTTATCCTGTTCAGGGTCTCAGCACGACAGGAAAACTACAAACTAAACATGTTTCTATTATTTACAGACGAACATTGTTCCAGTTTACCCAAACTGCATTTGAACTGTAGGATGAAAACAAAGTGTCATTGCAGATATGAGCATTCCAGCACTGCAATATTAACAGTGTTAAAACATTAGGCGTTGTAAATTTGCATGGTGGGACTCCTCATAGATCTGACATGGTAAAAATAAGATAAACTAAGATAATCTAAGATAGATAAGTCAGATATAGATAATCTCAGCCCTCTTAAGTAATGAACCTCTTAATATGTCATGGACTTTGTGTTGTGTGTCGATACATATACGCAGCTTTATTTGCCGTGTTGTAAGGTATACTTTGAACTTTGATTCTGTTCAAATGCCTGGTGCTTCTTGTTCTGTGGTAAACTATAAGATTGTTTTGTTTTTCTGTTTTATTTTGGAGTACTTTGTCAATGCTAATATTTTTAGTCTGCTTCCATGCTTCATCTGTATTTTTGTCTCAGTCCTTATAGTTAGCTATGAATGCCCACTTTACTTTGGAAGTTAGAAGTCAAAATATAAATACATGGAGGCTTTTATACAATTCCATATTCAAGTGCCTTATGCACTTAAATTCCATACTTTGACTCAAACTTCTACATAAATTGCATCACAATATAAATACTTTAAGTTAAAGAATGATTTAATCTGTCATTTTGTATCATACTAAACAAGAGCTTACTATCCTTTGATATTAATATTGAAGACATAAATATGAGTCATGGTTACATCGTGCGATCCAGCTTATCAGTTAACTCTCCACTCCCAGGCACAAATCAACTAATCTCAGAGGAAAAGCTTAGGCCTACTTCTGTAATATTCAAAGCCTTTCACATATATACACAATATGAGTCTGTCTGATACATTGAAATTGTACCTATATTCGCTGTGTCTTCACTAAATTATGTCCAAATATTTTAGAAATTCAGAATCTCCTTTATGAGACTCAAATTTTTCACATGATTATTATTTGAAGTGTAAGAATAAACGTGGTGGACACGTTTCATATTAACAGAGCAGGACTTACTCTACGAGGGCCTCCTCTTTGGTTCCATGGGGCCTGTTGTTGCTGGGCGTTGCTGCCTCGGCCTCGTCTCCTTCCAGCCATACTGGATGTTCTGCTTCCTTGTCTACTAGCAACGACGGCACTCGCCTGTCGCTCCTCTCAGCTGGCCTTACAAGACAGCCCGTGTGTGTGTGTGTTTTTAAGTATACATCTCATTGGCCTGCCTGACCCTGATGACGGGAGAACAAAGTGAGCAAAGTTCAAACCACTCTAGAAAATGCATTCAGCAGTGTAGATTGCACCTCATCAATACTGGGCTTTTGAGGACTTTCTCTTTCTTCATGTACAGGGCAGTTTGTTGCAATATGATGTATGCAGCACTAGCTGAGGACTTTCTCTTTCTTCATGTACAGGGAAGTTTGTTGCAATACGATGTATGCAGCACTAGCTTCAGTAAGCCTGGGCTGAAAAAGACAACACATCTAAACAATCACACAAAACCATATTATACTCAATCTTAAATACATTAACACATACAAAAATACTTGTGATAGCATTTATGTAAAAATATAAAATGAATTTTTAGCTACACTAGCTGCTTTGGTTGATCAGTTCACCACCTTATTTTAGACTGAAAAATCTCAAAAATTACTTTTGTAAACATTATAATTGGGTCAAATGAGCAAATACCTGCAAACGACATTCACATCAGCCTCAATTGTACTTTGTGTTTAGTGCAACTTTTAGCATGCCAATATGCTAACGTACAATATACCTGAAAAAAATGTTTGCATTTTAATTATGGGCCTGTTGGAGATTGTATGAAAATTATTGGGGTGGAGAGGGGGGTTGATTAATAACGAATTTTAGTTTGACCCTCCCATTGACTTAGAACAAACTGCCCTCCAGCAAACTTCTCATAACAATATATTAATAGCCAACATAACAAAATGTTGAAAAGGAGAGCCACTCTAATTTTTAATCAAGCGTTTCTATAGAAATGGTAATTATAGCCACCCAATAAGTGAAGCCTGAACTATATGAAAAATGAAGTCCTCTGTTGTGAGACTGTTGCCCTCTGCATATGGCCAAAGACCATAAAAGCTATATTTTTATGAAACTATTAGATTTTATATAGAATGAATATTACAAGGTAAGGCTGGAATAAAATATACATCTGGTATGAGGAAAAGACCCTCCTCTGCTCTCCCAAAAAAGTTACATAACCCTCCCCCTTTCTTCTGAAGTTTGAAGTTATCTCTTTTATCTTTATCTTCATTCTTTTCAAGAAGAAACTTTACACATCAATCAAGACCTTTTCAAGTGAGAGACAGCTGATAGTAACAGAGAAAAAATGAAGTAAGGATTCACACTAAATTAAAGATTCAGTCAACACCAACAGCAAATGGACCTCAAGAACCACAAATGACACCATCAACTCCCGCTTTATTTATTTTTTTGTTCGCATTTAAAAAAAATACAATTATTATAAAACAAATGATAGGACAGACCAGAGATAGATGTAACATTTTTTTACATTTCGGTCTGTATCTCGGTGCTCCTTTAATCCAGTGCATTCAAAATGTGATACAATCTAGTTACATGTGTCTGCTATTAAATGGTGTAACATATCCTGGGTGAAATGTAACATTCACTAGCAACAGAAATAATTAATATTAATTTTAATTATAATTATTTATTGATGATCGAAACAGAAAGATGTACAAGGCTTGCAGTTGCAGAATAGACATTTGAAAGCGTTGTGGGGAAGCTGTGAGGGAAATCCACATTCTGCACATTATACTGCATACTAATCAATATTTTAGGGACATTTTGAGTTAAAATTATATAGTATAATTTGTTGTGCAACTTCTTAAAAAGGTCACTTTTTACTGACTCCAGGTAATTTTGATGTGAAATATTCCTTTATGCTAAAGTTGTTTTTGCAGATTTAAGACAAGTTCAACTGAAACATAAGAAACCGGTTGGACTACACAGGAACCAGGAGTGACTTAAGGGGAATGTTCCACCTGTGAACACAATGACCTGGGGCAAGGGGTGTGGTTATCCTTGTGAGAAAATGTAGGGCGGGAGTATTGCTTTGCTATTCCTTCCCTCACTTCCTGAAGTGAACACTGTCCAAATAAGTGGCGTTACAGAGGATAACCTGTAATATTCTGGAACTTTGACACACCAGGCCAAAGGTAAGACTCTGATAGCAGTCAAGACATGTTGTACTTTCTCTTTGTTGTCAAATGTGTTAAGTTAATTTTAAGGAAGACACTGAATTTATACATGTAGTTGCAACACATATTGTAGCAAAAGAATTTAGTCTCGGATAGACCAGTTTTCAGTTTCACTTATAATCACAGTGTCACTGGGCAAGATTACTCACAGTGGATAAATCAAGAAGCTCATTTTGAGCCTGCAAGTTACCTAAATGGCACCAATAATATAAATTATTTGTTTCCCACTCATTCATGACCAGTTTGTTTACATTGGAAAGTAAGTAGAATACTTATTTATTTGGCTCTGTCCAGTGAGACTCGCATCCAGAACTGAAATGGCTCAAGATATGAAACTACAGTATGTGGGGGAAAATACAGTATCATTGTCGGAGAAAATTCTCAAGGGTTTGGACAGTGTTCTTGCGCAAGGGAAAAGTTGACCAACAGGGGTTCCAGTCAGAAAGTCTTCCTGCCAGAAGGCCTTACTACTTGGTGAGGTTTCGCCACCAAAACTATTTAGCTTTAAGGAGAAAGCCTTTTTGCCAGAAAGTTCTGAAGGCTAACTTCTCCCACGTGCAGTGTACTCCTTGTGTTGCTGTGTCTGTTTATCTTTGGGTTCAAATGATTTGCTAGTTAATTATACTACAGGCCAAGTAATGTCTGACTGATGTAATTGTATGTAATGGTCTGACCCTGAAAACTCTGTCTGCAGATTATATGCACGTGCTGGTGTAAAGCATGTTCCTGTGGCAATATCTGACTCTGCTCCTGCTGATACCTGTTCAAATATGCAAAGGTAAAGACCAAAACATAACATGTAAATGTATGTACACAAAAACACAAAGTCACTTTTGTCAAGGATTGTTTAGCAACTTATGGGAAACAGGCAACATTTGAGGAACTGAATCATATTTGGAAAACCAACATGTTTGAGCAAATGGCCTTCATTGTGGTTTGCAAAAACCAATAACACTATGTAGACCTATGACCTCTCAGCTGATATACTTACATGCAGCCATGCTATGTTGATTTGTGTAAATTCACATCTATTGTGTAACAGTTCCTGAGAACAGCTGATGGCAGTTCTTTAACATAAAGCCACTGTCCCATCTCAGTATAATTTAATGCACCTGTTCATTTGTGTGCTGTTTATTTAGGAAGTTCTGTCAGCAATAAAATGTTTGCACAAGGTGCGGTCAATTTCAAGCGAAACAAATCAATCTATATCACTACCAGTTAGATGAAAATCAATATCTTGTTGTAAACGCATTCCATTTGCTTAGCAGACTGCTAATAGAAGCAGAGGTTGTTTTGTTTTTTAAAGTCTTCATTATTATTGGTTGTTTTGCTCAATTATCATGTGGTTTGGAAGCTGGCACTGGCATAATCTAAACTCTAAAATCTTTTTGCTGAATTGTCAGATTGTTCAATGCCACTGAATGAAGCAACACACTCCATAGTCTGTCTCGCGTATCACTATTTTTTTGGATGGATTGTTATATGCTGTATTCAGTCATCACTTCAGTCTTTACTACTCCTCCTGACATGATTGGTGGGTTGGTTCAACTAATGTTAACCACATGTTCTGCTATTCTAAGGCTCTATATAAATAATGTCAGTGATCTTCTTGATGCGAATTGTCTGCATTTATTATATATTTTGGTTGACTTGGTCCACAAACCCTGACAGAGTCTATTACATGTCAGCTTCATTCATAACTCTGTGTGTGCTAAACTTTCTGCTTTCCGAGTCAAACTTGTGCATGACATGCCTGTCTTTAGGGGGCGAAGCTGTTTTTGAAAAACAGTTCCATTTAATACTCCCACACTGACTCGTATATGGAAATTATGTCACTGACATTGGCAGAAACTTTGGAAGATAAGTCACTGAATATTTAATGGTTATGCAGTCTTTTCTGAGCAATGCTTCTTAAAAAAAATGTTTAATGTCTCATTTATTCTTCTTTGCCCACTACACAAATACACCTTTCTCTGTCTATTCCTTTTCTTCTCACCAGCACTCCCAGAGCAGAGATGTGCTGAATTTACGGATCTAAATCTTGGTCACGCATTTATTGGAACCAGCCTCACAATCAGGTTGTTGCTGCACACCAGGGATAATCCCTCCTGTGGTACACTGATGTCCCACACCAACCTGTCTGCCCATCCTCAGTTTAACTTGTCCAGACCCACCACCTTCATCATTCATGGGTATCGGCCCACGGGATCTCCGCCAATTTGGGTACATAACGCAACAGAGCTGCTGCTGGCCAGGAATGATATTAACGTCATAGTAGTCGACTGGAACCGCGGAGCTACTAATATGAATTATTTCACGGCAGTGGAGAACACACGCAAGGCAGCTGACAACCTCACTACTTTCATTGAAAAGATGCAGGTATGACATGTATCTGATACTCTCTGTGACTATCACTACTGTGTCTAGATAGAAATATCAAGACTGTGTTGTGTGTAATAAATAACCGATCTTTTCAGGAACATGGTGCTTCTCTGAGCTCCATCCACATGATCGGAGTCAGTCTCGGGGCTCATATATCCGGCTTTATAGGGGCCAAGTTAAATGGGTCAATTGGAAGAATTACAGGTAAGTGTGTGAAGATGCTGGCACATTTAAATTCATTTTCACCATCTTAATATTTGTAATAGAAGTATGATATCTAGAATTTAATTTTTAAAATAATTATGAATATTGTCTAGATTTATGGACTGTGAACTGTTTGTCTCAAAACTAAAACAAACCCCTCAGCTATAGGACAGCAGCTGGTATGGTCTGGTGTGGAAGTTGCCATAGTTCATTGCCAAACAGCACAATAATATAATCATTTGCACTTTAAAACAATTGTGCCAAAATCTTTGTTTTCTTATGTCACAAAGCCAGCAAAGTAGCAAATTTTCTAGGAATTTTCCTAGAGTTGAATGTTGACACCATTGTACATAAAACGAAATACCGCAGATATTGCCCTCCTGCATTTAGTTTAGTTGCACAACCTTTGGCACTTTGGCACAGGTATAAACATTACAATTTTGGGAACTTAGCTGAGATGCTTATCAAGGACATTTAAAGAACAACTGAACTAACCTCATCCCAGACTAGATCTGCGAACTGCTGAACAGCACCTATTTCCACTACAATGGGGTATTCTGCAGACAGAACCATGGTTGTGCCATTGGCTCACCAGTATCTCCTATTGTAGCCAACATCTACATGGAAGAAGTAGAACAAAGGAACAGTGCTGAGCCACAGGTGCAGATTTGTGGATGACACATGGGTCAAAATTAAAACCCAAGAAGCCTTCACTGATCAACTCGGTGGACAGTAACATCAAGCTCAGCAACAACAGCTTGGCCTTCTTGGACTGTGCCATGCACATTGAAGAGGACAGAAGCCTCCATTTTGGAGTATTGAAACCCCACACATAAAGGCCAACAGTTATTCTTTGAACCCCACGACCCACACCACACCACAGGGGATGAGGAAAAGCAGATTGGGATTACATACATGTCTGGAGTAAAAGAGAATCTCCAGGAGGATTTTCAACAAACACCACATGTGTTTTTTAAACCCAGCAACACGTTACTGGTCCACCCAAAAAACCACACACCCAAACATAAGAAAACCAATCTAGAGTATGCTGTCCAATGCAGTGAGGAATGCACACACCTATACATTGGGGAAACCAAATGACCACTACACAAATGCATATTTCAACACAGAAGGGCTAACTCATCAGGTCAAGACTTGGCTGTTTATCTACACCTGAAGGACAAGGGACACTCTTTCAACAATGTACATATTCTGGGCAGGGAGAACAGATTGTTTCAAAGAGGACTGAAGGAAGCCATCTACACAAGAGTAGAGAAACCATCTCTCAAATGGGAAGGAGGTCTGACACAACTTATCCCCCGCCTACAATGCTGTCCTTTCATCCCTTCCCAGGAGATTGAACAAACACTTACTGTCCTCATGTGACCATGCCAATGATGGTTGTTCACACTTGGCCTTAGGTGACTCTACCACCATACCAATTGTCATTACAACAGCCAGGAGCACTAACAAGCACTAATGATTGTTAAAGAATATATTGTGAGCCAGGTTTGTTTGTGATGAAGACGTTTTGACATAGAATGCCAACACCAAATCTGTCTTGAAGTATCTTCAGCCAATCCAATGCCTTAGATTTAACTCACCTTGGATAACTATGACCTGGATGACTGAGAATGTTCATGGACAGCAACATTAATAGCAGCAATATCACAGTTCAGATTTTGGTTCATGTGAACGGTCCTGATCAGCAGTTTCGATGATTCCACCTGAAAGCACTGGAGAGGATTGTAAGGTGAAGACGGTGCCTGTGGTGACAGTGAAGTGCAGAACTACAGATATCTAGGTCAGCACTGCTGGAAAGGAGTGTCAAGTACAAAAATATCGAGGGGGGGGGGGGGGGAGCAGGTCTAGGTGTCTGGAGAGTTTCTGTAAAGTGTTTGGTCATATAAAACTGAAAACGGATATAATGGTATTAAAAAAAAAAGAGAACAGTACTGATTTGTCTGTCAAACGTTTGTTCAACGTTCAAGTAATCAGGATATAGTGCAGAGCAGCAGTAGGCTAATCATTTTAGAAAAGTCAAGTCAGTAAAGGTCAAGATACCCAAATCTTTACAATAAGGAGAACAGTTAAGGTGCCCAAGCCTGCTATTTTAGCTCCCACCAGCTAATGTTGGGTTTGAGGTTAAGCTTGAACCTCTACTGAGGTCTGTTGATGTGATGTTTGCAGCTCTGGATCCTGCTGGGCCTCAGTTCACTGGCACTCCTCCAGAGGACCGCCTGGACTCCACAGATGCCCAGTTTGTGGACGTCCTGCACACAGACATAGATGGTCAGTTTTTACTGAAATACTGTATTATGTTTATTCAGTCTTTTATAATTGTTTAAAATGTGTATGTAAGTTCTTTTGTTTTTTACATACAAAAATATACAGATGATGAAATTATTGTAGTTGTCATGTGCTGACTGTGTTCACAGCCCTCGGCTACAGAAAACCTTTGGGTCACATTGATTTCTATGCTAATGGAGGAACAGACCAACCTGGCTGCCCAAAGACCATCTTTTCTGGTAAGGTTAATTTTTGTTCAATTTATACATTTTATGAAATGGAACATTTCCGTTTGGTAACAATGCCCCTTTTTTCCTACCCAATTAGGAGGATCCTATTTTAAATGTGACCACCAGAGATCAGTGTTGCTCTACCTTGACTCTGTGAATCAGACATGTGCCAGCAAGGCCATCCCCTGCTCCTCCTATGAAGACTTTCTGGATGGTAACTGCTTGAACTGTGAAAGTTTTGGTGCTGCTGGATGTCCTGTCTTTGGTTGGTACACTAATCTCTTAGACTTGAAGAATGGACATTGTTTTAGTTTTCACTGAATATTATGTCTTAATCTGATGGTCAGTTATAAAAATCAATTTACACACAATTTCATGTGCAAGTTAGATGGGTTTCAATAGAAAAAATGACATGAATGCAATATTTAACAATACTGTTAATGGAAGGACTTATAATGGCGTTTTTTATTTCTTCAGAATTTAGTGTGTTATTGTTGTAAATCTGACCCAGCTGTTTCACTAAAATTCAGGTTATGACGTCACAGAGTGGAAAGATGTCCTGCTGAGGCTGGGCCAAACAACAACGTACTTCACCACAAATGCAAAGTCTCCATTCTGCAGTAATTAACACAACACTAATAATCTTAACATCTGACAGTATTTGATGATTTGACAGCCAAAATAGGTCATAAATGGTTTATTCTGACTTTACTCTTAAATGTTACTTTTATGAGCTTTAACAGTTATAAGAGTATAATTTTATTTCAAAATGGCAGACATCTTGTGATTGAAAGAAAATGTTAATGTCCTCTCTCAGTGACAGACTATATGGTGGACGTGATGATATGGAACATGGACGTGCGCTGGGGATACATTACTGTTAAACTTCACAGTAATGGTGTAGAAGCAGTGGCGACCATTGACCAGTAAGTCTTCACTTTGCTTACTTCAGTAGCAAATGACAAATATTTCACCACAACTTCTCTTGGTCCATCAGTTGCTGCTTTCTCACAGTAATGTCGGGATTTGTTTTCCAAATCAGTAAAGCTGCAGAGTTCAAGAGGTACACAGAAACCAGGTTGTTTGCCCAGTTTGACAAAGACATTCTCTCAGTGAAAGAGGTCTCTCTCAAATTCTCCACTGGGAATGTATTCAAGCCAAAATATAAGCTTCGTGTTCTCCGTATTCGTCTGACACACCTGGGACGCAAGGACAGGTATGCAATAAATAAAGATTTTTTTCAAATGTGTAATATCTTTAATACACTTTGTTTATTTTATTGAAAGTGAAAACAGCAAAAATTATAAGTAAGCACTTAATTCTTCCAGCTCTAGATTTACAGTAATGTTGACTCTGTCCGTCACAGGCCTCTCTGTCGATATGACGTCCTTCTCAAGGAGAACAAAGAAGTTACCTTCAGGCCCATTCCCTGTGAAGAATCCAACTTCTGAGACAGAATCCGACTTCATCTCAAGAAATACCACTGCTCTTACTGGAAATGATTCCACTGACTTTTCAATACAATCCTTAAAAAGCACTGGATTCTTCACTTATGTTCCAGAAGATACTTCCTCAAACAAATGTTGTTGTTTTTTAACATGACATTACTAGAAACTATTTATTTGTGTATATTAGATTATTTAGATTATGACAATAATATAACTATTAATACAATCTCAAGTCAATAATGCTTGCCCTGCACAACTGATGAATTAACTGACCGCTTGGTCAGTCAGTTTTTGTACCATTAAAAATAATTCTCCCTTTAGTATGCCTTTATTCCTTACTGACACTAGCTGGGACTGACAGGATCTGAGGACACTCTTAGTTGCAAAACATTTACAGTAGCAGTGGAAACAAGGCAATTGTAAAGTTCCCAGTTTACCTAAACTGCATGGACAACAGTGGTATTGCAGAGTTGAGAATTCAAGCACTATAATATTAATATTGTTATTTTTATTTTAATAAAACATTAGGTGTTGGACATTTGCAGGTTGAGACTCCTAACTAAATTTAACATGGTAAAAGAAGATATCCCAGATAATCTTTTAATATCTTCAAGTCAGTTGTGATTAACCTCAACCCCCTTATGTAATGAGCTTCTCAATATGTCATGGACTTTGTGCCGGGTGTCAATACAAATACGTAGAGTAAGGTATACTTTGAACTCTGATTCTGCTCATGTCTGGTGCTTGTTGTGCTGTGGTATAATATAAGATTGTTTTTTGTCTTTTGAAATGACCAGGGGTTCAATTCAATTTTATTTATATAGCGCCAAATCACAACAGTTATCTCACAGCGTTTTTAATAAAAGAGCAGGTCTAGACCATACTCTATGATGTTATTTACAGAAGCCCAACAATTCCCACCAAGAGCAAGCACTAGGCGACAGAGGCAAAGAAAAACTTCCTTTTAAGAGGCAGAAACCTCGAGCAGAACCATGGCTCAGGGTGGGCGGCATCATTTTTAGACCGGATGTTCCTGATTTTCCCAATATTACGTAGGTCAAAAAAGGCGGTCCTTGAAATTTGTTATATGTGAGACTTAAACGACATGTCCTGATCAAAGATAACTCCAAGATTCCTCACAGTGGTGCTGGAGGCCAGGGCAATGCCATCAAGGGAAACTATATCTTTAGATAATGCGTCACGGAGGTGCTTAGGCCCCAGAACAATAACTCCAGTTTTATCTGAGTTTAACGTAGAAAATTACAGGTCATCCAGGTTTTAACATCCTGAAGGCATATTTGAAGTTTAGCTAACTGATTAGTTTCATCTGGCTTGATCGATAGATATAACTGAGTATCATCTGCATAACAATGAAAGTTTATGGAATATTTCCTGATAATATTGCCTAAGGGAAGCATATACACTCGCCTAAAGGATTATTAGGAACACCATACTAATACTGTGTTTGACCCCCTTTCGCCTACAGAACTGCCTTAATTCTACGTGGCATTGATTCAACAAGGTGCTGAAAGCATTCTTTAGAAATGTTGGACCCATATTGATAGGATAGCATCTTGCAGTTGATGGAGATTTGTGGGATGCACATTCAGGGCACGAAGCTCCCATTCCACCACATCCCAAAGATGCTCTATTGGGTTGAGATCTGGTGACTGTGGGGGCCATTTTAGTACAGTGAACTCATTGTCATGTTCAAGAAACCAATTTGAAATGATTCGAGCTTTGTGACATGGTGCATTATCCTGCTGGAAGTAGCCAGTAGAGGATGGGTACATGGTGGCCATAAAGGGATGGACATGGTCAGAAACAATGCTCAGGTAGGTCGTGGCATTTAAACAATGCCCAATTGGCACTAAGGGGCCCAAAGTGTGCCAAGAAAACATCCCCCACACCATTACACCACCACCACCAGCCTGCACAGTGGTAACAAGGCATGATGGATCCATGTTCTCATTCTGTTTACGCCAAATTCTGACTCTACCATCTGAATGTCTCAACAGAAATCGAGACTCATCAGACCAGGCAACATTTTTCCAGTCTTCAACTGTCCAATTTTGGTGAGCTCTTGCAAACTGTAGCCTCTTTTTCCTATTTGTGGTGGAGATGAGTGGTACCCGGTGGGGTCTTCTGCTGTTGTAGCCCATCCGCCTCAAGGTTGTGCTTGTTGTGGCTTCACAAATGCTTTGCTGCATACCTCGGTTGTCACGAGTGGTTATTTCAGTCAAAGTTGCTCTTCTATCAGCTTGAATCAGTCAGCCCATTCTCCTCTGACCTCTGGCATCAACAAGGCATTTTTGCCCACAGGACTGCCGCATACTGGATGTTTTTCCCTTTTCACACCTTTCTTTGTAAACCCTAGAAATGGTTGTGCATGAAAATCCCAGTAACTGAGCAGATTGTGAAATACTCAGACCGGCCCGTCTGGCACCAACAACTATGCCACGCTCAAAATTGCTTAAATCACCTTTCTTTCCCATTCTGACATTCAGTTTGGAGTTCAGGAGATTGTCTTGACCAGGACCACACCCCTAAATGCATTGAAGCAACTGCCATGTGATTGGTTGATTAGATAATTGCATTAATGAGAAATTGAGAACAGGTGTCCCTAATAATCCTTTAGGTGAGTGTATAAAGTGAACAGGATTGGTCCAAGGACAGATCCTTGAGGAACTAAATAGGACTTAAACCAGCTTAGAGCGGTTCCTTTAATGCCAATGAAATGTTTCAGTCTCTGCAATAGGATCTGATGGTCAATGATATCAAATGCAGCACTAAGATCTCATAAAACCAGTACAGAGACAAGTCCTTTGTCTGATGCAATAAGGAGGTTGTTAGTCATTTTCACCAGTGCTGTCTCTGTGCTATGATGAACTCTAAATCCTGACTGAAAATCCTCAAATAAACTATAGCTCTGTAGAAAGTCACAGCTGTTTAGCAACTGCTTTGACCAGGATCTTAGAGAGCAGGTTAGATATAGGTCTATAGTTGGCTAAAACATCCGGATCAAGTTTGGGCTATTTCAGAAGAGGTTTAATTACAGCTACTGTAAAGTACTGTGGTACATAGCCTGTTGATAGAGATAGGTTGATCATATCTAGTATAGTGCTGAATAGGGGTAAAACTTCTTTAAGCAGCCTAGTTGGGATGGGGTCTAAGAGGCAGGTTAATTGTTTAGATGAAAAAATTATTGAAGTTATTTGCGAAAGGTTGAGGGAAGCAAAACAGTCCAAACTTTTATCTGGTTCTACAGCTGTTTCTAAGATTCCTGAGTTTAGAGATAAGTCGGTGCCAGTTGAGGGCAGGTCTTGGTGAATTTTGTTTCTAATAGTTAGAATTTTATCATTAAAGAAGCTCATGAAGTTGTAACTACTGAGAGCTATGAGAATACTTGTGTGACTCTCTGTCAGCCTGGCTACAGTGCTGAAAAGACACCTGGGGTTGTTTCTATTTTCCTCTATTAATGACGAGTAGTACGTTGCTCTGACATTACGGAGGACCCTCCTAAACGAGAATTTTCCAGTTTGGTGGAACGCCAATTCCTCTCAAGTTTCCACGATATTTGCTTTAATTTGTGAGTTTCAGTATTATACCATGGAGCTGACTGTCTTTGTTTTATTATTTTCTTTTTTAGAGGGGCTACAGAGTCGAGTGTCAATCACAGTGAGCCTGCAGCACTATGAACAAGATGATCGATTTGGGAGGAACTGAAATTAGCATAGGAGTCTTCTGTTACTTTGTGACTTGATAATGAATTTAGAGCTGATGGAATCACATCCTTAAATTTAGCTACAGCACTATCAGACAGACGTCTTGTATAGAAGTTTTTTCCCAATGGCGTGTAGTTCAGCAATACAGATTCAAAAGTTATCAAGCAGTGGTCAGATTAAGAGGGATTCTGTGGGAACACTATTAAATGTTCAATTTCAATACCGTATATCTGGAAAAGGGGTCTGTTCCAGAAAGCAGGTTTAACAAACTCTGAATTGAAAGTATATGAAACCCCTAACCCAAGCTGTTATTCTGTCATTGTGTTACTCATGAATGGAATAATAATGGAAATAAATTATTCCCTTTTTCGCTGGAGCCCATGAAACCCCCTCTAGGACCCCTGGGGGCCCTCGGACTCCACTTTGAGAATCACTGTAAGATCTGGAGAATTTGGAAGGCTTTTTTCTTTTTAATTAAGCATAGATTTCATTAACTGCATCAGTGTTTCCCATTAATCAAGGAGACCATGGCGGCCCGCCATAGTCTAATTTGCTCCACCATAGTCTCAAAATGAACCGAAAATTTTCACGCTCACACACTTTGGCATCCAACTCGAGACAACGTCTCGGGTTACGTATGTAACCCTGGTTCCCCGAGAAGGGGAACGAGACACTGCGTCGGTTACGAAACTATGGGAACGCCTATAGGCGAAGCAGGTCTGAACGTGAATGAAATCACTCCAATCCTATTGGCTTGTGTCACGATCGGTGGTGTGGAGCAGGTTGGAGGACCCAAAAGCAGGACACAGAGCGGAGCAGGTATGGTTCAGTGGTTTAATAAACAAACAAAAGGCAAGCACACTTACAAACTGAGTAGCTGCTGACAGAGTCCCAAAACAAAGGCTGTCCAACAGAAATCCAAAAGGGTGAAAACCAGAATCCAAAACTGAGCAGGGTAACAACGAGACACGGCGAGTAAGGCTGAAGACACGAGAACAAACTGCAACACTGGGTGACAACATACAATGACCCGACAAAGACAAGACAGAAACACCAGGTATATATACACACAGGGACTAACGAGCAGGGCGGGAGCAACACAGGTGAAAGACATGAGGCTAATGAGACACAGGCAGGGAGAGAGAGAGCGAAGTGAGGAAGTGTGGGGGAAAACAGAGACAGAAATGCAGAGTGTGACAGCTTGTTGCTAGAACGGTAAGGTGTGACGGAATAACCGGAGGAGTATAAAGCACACCTGTACACACTCATCATTAACTTAAACTATGAAGCAGGCGCTTCAGGCGGGGAGAGAGGTACGGCGGGCCGACGCAGTGTCTCGTTCCCCTTCTCGGGGAACCAGGGTTACATACGTAACCCGAGACGTTCCCCTTCGAGGGAACTCGAACTGCGTCGGTTACGACACTATGGGAACGAGATACCCACTAAACCGTGCCAAAAACCCCGCCTGCCCCTGTGTGCAATAAAGTGGCACGACTAAGAGGAGAGCGCACGGGTGCCAGGTGCCGAAGGAAGGTCAAGACTGTAAAACCGAATGAATGTGTGCGGAGTGGCCCAGCCAGCTGCAAAACAAACAT